CTCCCCCCCCCCATTCCTTCCCGGCGGGCCCGGCCCCAAACCCTCCTGCGGTCCCCAGCCCGAGCCCGCCACCCAGGCAGCCCTCGGATCCCGGGCCTGCGCAGGCCCCCACCTCGGGAGCGCTATGTTCCCCCGCCCGCTGACCCCTCTGGCGTCCCCAAATGGCGCCGAGCCCCTGGGCCGGGTGCTGAGGCGGGCCCCACTGGGCAGGGGCCGGACCGGGCTGGGGGGGCCACCCCTGCTGCTACCGTCCATGCTCATGTTCGCGGTGATCGTGGCCTCCAGCGGGCTGCTGCTCATGATCGAGCGGGGCATCCTGGCCGAGATGAAGCCCCTTCCCCTGCACCCTCCCAGCCGCGAGGGCGCGGCCTGGCGCGGATCAGCCCCCAAGCCTGAGGGGCTGTCCCTGCAGGCCGGAGACTCGGACACACAAGTGCGGCAGGACGTCCGGAACCGGACCTTGAGGGCGGTGTGCGGACAGCCGGGCATGCCCCGAGACCCCTGGGACTTGCCGGTGGGGCAGCGGTGCGCCCTGCTGCGCCACATCCTCGTAAGTGACCGCTACCGCTTCCTCTACTGCTACGTCCCCAAAGTGGCCTGCTCTAACTGGAAGCGGGTGCTGAAGGTACTGGCGGGCGTCCTGGACAGCGTGGACGCTCGCCTCAAGATGGACCACCGCAGTGACCTGGTGTTTCTGGCAGATCTGAGGCCTGAGGAGATTCGCTACCGCCTGCAGCACTACTTCAAGTTCCTGTTTGTGCGGGACCCCATGGAGCGCCTCCTCTCTGCTTACCGAAACAAGTTTGGTGAGATCCGAGAGTATCAGCAGCGCTATGGGGCTGAGATCGTGAGGCGGTACCGGGCTGGAGCCGGGCCCAGCCCTGCGGGGGACGATGTCACCTTCCCTGAGTTCCTGAGATACCTGGTGGACGAGGACCCCGAGCGCATGAATGAGCACTGGATGCCCGTGTACCACCTGTGCCAGCCGTGTGCTGTGCGCTACGACTTTGTGGGCTCCTATGAGAGGCTAGAGGCTGATGCCAACCAGGTGCTAGAGTGGGTGCGGGCACCGCCCCACGTCAGATTCCCAGCTCGCCAAGCGTGGTACCGGCCAGCTAGCCCCGAGAGCCTGCACTACCACCTGTGCAGTGCCCCACGGGCTCTGCTGCAGGACCTGCTGCCTAAGTATATCCTAGACTTCTCCCTCTTTGCCTATTCACTGCCTAATGTCACCAGGGAGGCCTGTCACCAGTGACCATGGGTATGGGGCCAGCAGCTGTTGGGACTAGTTTCAACAATGCCAACTTCTTGTGCTTCTGCCTGCCATTCAGAGAAACCCTGGCTCTGGGACTTGGGGCTTGTCCAGATGCTCAGATAGCAGGGACTGTCCTCAGAAGGTCCTTGTTACCTGCAGAGGCTCAAAGAACTGGGCTAGGCAGGAGGCCTGCTGTGCTCCTCGGGGGGGGGGTGTCTTGGGGACCAATGTGATTCTTCATGCCCTGGCAGGACCGGATACCAGTTTGCTAGCAAAGCGACATATCTAATGTAAAACCTGGTCCCAGGCTCTGGCTGCAGGGTTATGCGATCCACTTGGTCCACTTCATTTAACCTGTGGCCAAACCCAGAGGTGGCACCAGTCAGGAGCAAGCATGACCAAGCCAGGGGCCCTGTGGTTCTGATCACTCTCTCCCACCTCCTGTGCCTCAGAACTGGAGTGAACAGTGGTGCCTTATAAGTGACTTTTGTGCTTTTCTGCTCCAGACTCGATATTCCACACTTGCCAGGTTCTGTCCGTTTTTCAGGGCCCTTGCCTGGTAGCTCCAGGACCCAGCCCTGCGTGCATCCAAAGACCCCTGTGCCCAGCCTCTTCCTAGGGCTCTGGGAACCTCCTCCTTAACCACCCCCGCCCCAGGTCTTCAAGGTTGCCGCTGGGCACCAAGGCCAGAGTGAGAGGGCTCTGCCACCTTTCTGATGCATTTATTTAAAATCCGTACTTTTTGATAGAACCCTTATAAGGGTTTTGTTTTCCTAATAGCTGAATTTTTAATAAAGTTGTTTTGTATATAAAAGCATTTTTTGGTGTTTTCCTCCTTGAGCATCTATGGGACTAGCAAGTCTCCTGGATGTCTATTTGAGTCAGGGGAGGAAGTTTGAAGGTACAGAAAGTAAGACAAGTTAGCAACTTGCTTGGGCCATGCAGTAGGTCACTGCCACACCGTGGAGCCTTTAGGACCTTCTAAGAGGCCACAGACTTCCTTTCTGGGACATTACCAAAGGGCAAGGCAGGTCAGGAATGGCTCCAGGTCCAGAGCACGCCGATGTGTTATTCCCTGAGAAGGGGGTGGGTAGGAGGCATGGGTTCCTCCTTCTCTTAAATAGGAGTACATTTTCAGATGACAAAGGGGAGGTTATTCCTGGGATGAGAATTACAGGAAAGAAGACACAGGTTGAGTGAGGGGCAGGCTCTTGCTGGCCAGGGTCCAGAGGAAGTCATGGGCGATGTGAGAGGAATATAGTCAGAGTGCTAGAGGCCAGGCCTCAGTGTGGCCTGTTCCTCCTGGCTTGCCAAAGACCCCAGTTCCACCAAGGGGTGCACATCAGGAGGCTGGGCCTGCCATGCCAGGGGAGAGGTGGCAGGCCAGAGCTGGCTGTTCTCTTAGTCCTACTTCGTACACTCCCCGGAAATGGTTGGGCTGCAGGGACCTGAGGCTACGGCGAGAGTTGGGGCCCAAAGGAGTAAGGTGCCTCCTATAATAGCCTTGCCACTGGCCGGGCTTTGGAGAGGAAAACAAGCCCCATTCCTAAAGTTTGGGGAGGGGACTTCTACAGGCACTTGCCATTCTCTGCCCTGGCTCAGCAGGTTGGGTCGCTTCCAGAGGCTTTACCTGGTCCCCTGAGCCAGATGCCCTTGCCTCTGGGGACGTCACCTGAACTAATGAAGTCCCAGCCCGAGTCCTCACTAGCTGCCAGATTAGATCTCTCAACCTGTGTTCTCCACGTGTGATGGCAATAATATGGCCCACTTCATGGAGATTGCTAGAGGGATTAATAAAGACAAAGCGAATGAAAGGGCCCATTCCAACACCTGTATTCATGGGTCTTCCTGGAGATGCTGGTTCAACACTTAATCCTTCAGAGGCCTAAGGGGACAGGGGAGAAGCCAAGATGCTGTCTACCCCAGCTGGAGGTCCAACTTGCCTCTGGGCGGAGCCCCTTTGGACCCTGGATTCTCCTCCTCTATCAGTAAGGTGATCCTTTGAGCTTCAGGCCTCTCAAGAGCATCCCAACCCAGTCACACCCAATAGCAGCAAGTCCAGACCTACAGCTGCCAATCAGCCATCTCACAAGGACCTAGAACAGGGAGCCCACTGAATGCTGGGCTTGGCTGTAGTATTTACCTCGTTTCATAAAATCCTTTCTTACGAAATTTGCCAGAGGAGAGCTAGCTGATGGTGTGCAGTTTCATTGCTGGACTTGCAGTGGCCAACTGTGATTCAAGTCCAGCACCCAGTGGCTTGAAACTCAAGGCCCAGCACATGTGCGTGCGTGCCCAAGATCCCAGGAGGAGAACGGAGGAGAAGAGATTGCAGCGTGGCCATTCCCCCTAGGGTGTGTGTGTGTGTGTGTGTGTGTGCGTGTGTGTATGTGGGTGAGTGATTTCTTGCTTTCTGTCTCTCTGTCTCTGTCTCTCCAGCAAGCACCCTATAGCAAAAATCTCTCCAAAAATTTTGCCGGAGGGTGCGTGTATTAACCAGAGGAAGACAGCACTCCTAAGGGAGCACCGTCAGACCACAATCCCTTCTCCATTTCTTCACCGTGTCAAGGTTTGGGGCATGCACACACACCCAGTGCCCAGTGTGTTTTTCAAGCTGCTGAGGCTGAGATTCGAACTGAGTTTGGCCACGTGGGCTCTAGCTTCCATAACCACTAGGCCACCAGTTAGCCCTCACATAATGCTTATAACAGCTCAGCAACACATCGTTATCTGTTTACACACGTGGGAACTGGCGCGGAGAGAGTAGGTCACCTGCCAGAAGTGTCCAACCCAGGTCTCCCAAACAGGAGGGAGTTAGGTCTGGAGAGGGAAAG